ACTGGACGTCGGACGTCACCAGCATGGATGCTGAGAAATACTGTTCGCGAGGTACAATGATTGTCTGGCCTTCACAGACGACATTGTCAGGGAGGATGGGCCCGCGATAGCCCGGAAAATCGTAGGCCACGCCAGTGTGCGTGGATGTATAGGTTCCATTGATGCCAATAATGCTAGGGTTTGGATAGGACTGATTCAATGCATCAAAGGACGTCTGACCGGGATATACGCCGAATGCCTTGTTGTTGAAGTATGAATCGAGGGAGACGAATTTTGACTGTACCGTCAGTTTAAGTTCGATTGAAAAGAGAAACACTAACCTGCGGTGCTGCAGCAGCAGCAGTGACAGCTAACTGCCATGCGAGAGCTATCCGGTTGACGACCTTCATGATGCAAACATTCCCCAGTACGGGCGTAAAGTCTACACTCTGCCGATGAAGCGGGGAAGCGGTGCAGAAGTAGTCATGCGAACTTCATATCTCCCCACCCGGAAAATGGCACAGTGGCATTCTGCCTGCACGTTGAAGCAAATCCAGCAAGTGGCCGACTGTCATTGGAACACGCCGATCATGTAGATTAAACGGCCGGCGTGCGGGGAGATATCAATTGCGGCAAAGATACGCGGTGATAAGTGCTAATCTTCTCATATCCTGGTCGGCCCAGCCGGGCACTAAACCGTCGCAGCGCCACTGTTACATCGGCTGATGTCCGAGTGGAGGTCTGCAGTATGCCGACTGATAAGAAGCAACGAGTCCCAGGATGTTCCTGCATGATGCACCGACGCAATGTGGACAACCTTGTTTACCGTGGCAGCTGGGCTGGCCAGTCTGCCGTTGACTCATGCCTTCAACAACCCCCCAGGCGTGGACATCTGGTGCGGTAAGGCCTATCGAGCGAGGTATGTCATAGCAAGCAATAGATATGTCACGACTAACTCTGTTAGCAATGCTTCATTCAACCCTGGTGGCTGGTTCGAGCAGCCCTCGTACTCCTCCACTCCCCTGCTCGACCTCAAGGTCCGGCCGCGAATGAGCATCTATCTCGAGACAGATGCAAAGGGTAGCCTTCTCGTTGACACCACCGTCTCTCACATCGTCGGTGATCCTCTACCGGTTCAGGCCCGGACAAACTACACAGACCAGAACCTCCATCTAGACATCCACATCCTCAGCGACGAGACCCAAGTTGCATCTGTCTCCAACCATACCCTGCCACTCGACACCACCAAAGCCGAAATCCCTCTCTCCTTCGACTTCCTCACCCCAAAACTAACCCCCTACACCATCACCACCACCGCCACCCTCATCAACAGCATCACCAACACCTCCTTCACCACCTCCTCCGAACTCTTCTACCTCCCCCAACGCACCGACGGCGGCAGCGCCACCCGCATCGACCACCGCACGGGCATGCTCTCCTACATCCAGGACCAATCCGTAACCTGGACCCCAATCTTCCCCTACACCTACTACGGTACCTCCCCCCATCCCCTACACACCTCCTTACAGCCAATCTAACCTCAAACTAGCCCAATGGTCCCTCTACTGGGACACCAACACCAGCACACTAGAATCCTTCACCTCCCAGGGCTACAACGTAATCCACATCGTCCCCACAGGCACCCTCAGCGACACGCCCTTCCCCTGGTCGAGCTTCGACCCCTATCTCACCTCCTCCGACAAACAAAACCTCCACCTCCAATACGACGTCCTTTTCGACCCTACCGACCTGACCAAACTCACCGACCAAGTCACACACATCCACACCCACCCATCCCTCCTCCTATACTACACGGCCGACGAACCAGACGGCAAAGGCAACCCCCTGAACTCGACTCTTCTGGCGTACGACCTCATCCGCTCCATGGACCCGTACCATCCTGTTTCTCTAGCTCTGAACTGTCAGGACTTCTATTATGAGGAGTATGCCTCCGGGGCAGATATTATCCTGTCGGATGTATATCCCGTCGCGACCAACACTTCCTGGTCGACTGTGTATGACACGCCGTGTAATGCTACGTATGGGTGTTGTGGGTGTGATGATTGCAGGGGTGAGTTCGAGGATATTAGTGATAGGTTGGATCAGTTCTATGAGTTTGATGCGGTTGTTGGTTGGGAGAAAGTGCACTGGGGCGCGCCGCAGGCGTTTGGGGAGGAGACGTTTTGGACGAGGTATCCTACGGCCGAGGAGGAGGTGGTTATGGTTATGTTGAGTGTCAATCATGGCGCGATGGGCATTGTTATGTGGGATTATCCGAGTAGTGATGGGATTGAGAGGGTTACGCGGGAATTGGCGCCTGTCGTCACTGGGGAGGTGTTTGTGGGGTTTTTGGAGGAGGGAGATAGAACGGTGGGGTTGGTGAAGGGTGCAGGGAGGGTGGATGTTGCGTGGTGGGTGGTGGAAGAGGAGGGGAGGGCGTTGGTGAGTGTGGTTAATCTAAATTATCGGGGGACTGGGGAGGTCAGAGTGGGTTTGGAGGGTGTGAGGGTGGCTGGGGTAGAGAAGGTGCTTTGGGGTGGGGAGGGATGGGATGTCAAGGATGGGGAGTTGGTTAGCGAGGGATTGGGAGGGTTGGAGGTGGGTATTTTGGTGGTAGATTTGGTGTAGTTACTATTATAGATCGGAGTTATAAATATGATTATCATATATCACATTACTACATTACTTTCTCGTCGTGATACTTATATGAGCAGGTAACATGGGGCTACAATGCAAGAAGCAATCCCACGCCCGCAAGTCCTGAAAGCAGCTTTATCGGGTTGCTTGTAGCCTGCGCTGCAGCACCCTCCGACGAAGTGCTCGTAGCTTCGGCCGATGAGCCGCCGCTCGAAGCAGTACCCGTCGCCCCGGTTGCTGTGGCCGTAGCAGTGATTGTGACACCCGACAGTGTGGGCACTGCCGTGCCAGTCGAGACCAATCCATTTCCAGTAGCGGAAGAGACAGCAGAGGGAACCGGCGTCGCTCCCGGCACAGCCGACGTTCCCGTTCCGATCTCAAGGATATCATCGTCACCCGGGTTGAAGTTGGTGTTGGCAAGGGAGATCTCATTGTTCTCGAGATCGTATACAACGTATGCGCTGCGCAGGAATGTATCGCCGAGCAGGTTCACACCCGGCTGGCTCGGCACGAGGCCCAACACGCAGGTGTTGTCGGGCCACCCCGGCTCCGTTGCGGGGATAATCAGCTCGCTCATACTGACGGTGACCGTTGCACCGGAGAAACTATAAGTCACGTTGTAATCGGAATCTCTGGTGTCGCAATCGATGTAGGCCATGTCGTATGTCTTGTCGTAGGTTGCGTTGAGCGCATCATAGACCTTGTTGAGAAGATCGCTGGGCAGCGCCGTCATGGTGGTGCCAGTATCGAGTGACACGGAGAGGGGAAGACTGTCGGTAAAGCTACTGGAGTTGGAGTCGGTCGCAACGCTGAGCTCTGTAAGGGCGATGGCGAGGGAGTAGTATTTGCCATAGACTGGAATAATCGGAAGGGTCTGGAGATCGCCCTTATATTTTGCTGTGTTGACGCCTCCGAAAAGGAGCGAACCGGTCGACGCCTCCAAACTATCTAGCCAGATACTGTACGCAGCAGATTTGATAGCACCGCTGTCGACGAGGGCCTGAGGGAGGTTGGCATAGACCTTGTCGTCGTGCTCGGCCTGGTAGGTCGAAATTTTGTAACCGACACCGGCGATCCCGCCTATAGTACACCGAGTCAGCGACGATCATCATGGAGAAGACGGCTCACCCACGTTTACTAGTCGTAGATTCGGCGATCCCAAACTGCATGTCATCGATTGTCGTGTTGCCGATCGTTAGCTTATCAGTCACATAAGGTCCGTAGAGATTGGTGCCGTCCGCATATGTATCGTTGAGGTGTGTGCCGACGGTTTTCACGGTGGACGATTCGCTGGCATTGTACAAGCCATAAGGGGTGCATAGATTGTCGATGGAGCAGTAGGTCGAGTTGCCGGTGTTCACCCAGAGGTCGCTACTGCCAGTGTCCAGAGCCAATGACACCTTTTGCGCGGGTGTTCCTAACGTCAGGTTCACTACATAATAAGTCGCATCCTAGCAATTGTCAGCATGATATATCCTTCACGGCCTTATAGCTAACATACCCAGTTCTGCAACGTCACGGCGACCGTAGAATCTCTTTTCTGCAAGGACTGGCCGCTCCTGCGCTCAAGGGGCATTCGAACGACGGCAGGCTCATCGCGTTTATGGAGAGACAGGCCATGGACAAATGTAATGCCCGCCGCAAGAGGAATTATTACTGCACCTCTCATCTTGACTAACCGGGCGTCTGCTTTCCTGTTCACAGACACGTTATAACGTAACTTGCAAAGAAGCACAAGTTCAAGCCGGATATGCTGCAGCCCATGGAGATTAAATTGGCCCCCAAGAGGCAAGGCCGCAATTCCTGTCTGCCTGTTCTCATGTTAGCTTCAACGGCGAGGCTAAGACAATAGTGTGAGCATGGTGCTCACACTCTGCACTGGTATAGCCAGTCATCATCAATAAAGTGACTCAGCCCCAAATTTGGTCAAAGCAAAGGCTGCGTGGAGCCTTTCGCAACGAACGCTGGATCCAAAGGGTCTGACTTCTACACCGTACAAGCGAGGCCATCGTGACCTTTGGACGGCTAGTTCCGCCTAGCTCCGACCAATTCTCCGAATTCGGTCGAGCAGCCGGATGTTCGGCGGTTGATGGCCGTCGGGCCTCCATTCTGATTTGAGCAATCTAATCCGTCTCCATCGCAATCTAAGACATTACGGCGATGCACCTTCATTGGGCTGTTGCGGACGGGTTTTGCGGCCATTCGCTTGGCGGTGGGCCAACTTCGTAGCCGCTTTCCTATCACGAAAATCGCTCATGCTGACTGCAGGAAGCGGGGATCAGGCTCTCCATCTGTCGGAAAATTCTTGATCCAGCTGCGCTAGACAATTCAGGTCGCCAGAGCGCCTGTGCGGGCAGACTAGCTTCGTGCAATCCCGAATATGTCTCATTGCCATGTGCAGGGTGTACGAGCAACTCAGGGGTAGTAAATCGGCGTGGGAATTTTGGCAGGCAATTTGCGCCTTGTGGTGGCGCGCGACATCCACCACTACATTAGAAACCATCTCTAGGGCCGCTTCCGAGTGTTGCAACCCTTGCAAGTCAACGGTGTCGAAAGGGCAGCTTAGGACTTCCTGGTGTAATAGACAGAGGGCTCTAGCCGATTCAGTTAGCTGCAGCCGAGTGGCGTGGTTCCTTAGACTAGTACTCATGGGCCTTAGGTCACAAGATATGCGAATTACGGTTGACATACCTCACTGCAGATGCTATAGGACTGCAATCATGGCCAATTTCTGCGGTACCCGTGTTCATCCGTTCAGACAGGAAGCTTTGCAGCTGCATGTCGAGTTGTTGAATCTCTACCATTCTACCACTAATAGTTTGGGGGTGCCGTCGCACAGCCAACACGCGGTCGAGAAGGAGCACAGCTCGTGCTTGGTGGCCAAAAACGCAGGGTTTCCTGTCCTGGTTCAAAGGCAGACAGTCATGTGGGCAGCTTCCTACTGAACAAGTATTGGATTGAACAGGCTGTAGGTCACTTGGTAGAGGGAACTCAGAAGACGGACAATCTGTCATAGGTCGTTGTGTCTTGTCTTTGATTTCGCATAAAATAAGCCTAGGCTGGGTGAGCCTGTGTTTCGAAGACCTTGTAGTTGGCCTACCTCTCGATAATGATTACACCCCACCACAAATTCAGACGCTCCAGTCTTTCAGATGATATGTCACTAGCTCCATTTGTCTGCCAGGAGCTGGGATCTGCTAGGCCTGTCACGAAAGCACTTCTGGCTACACTCCCCATCGTAATGTGCGCTGCCTCAGGCCGACCGTTGGCATACTCATACGCAGCGATGAGCAGTCCAGCCTGAATGAGATACGTCGAGGCACACGTTATAGATTGGGCTTCCGCAAATAGCATCTTCATAGTGGCATATAGGCTATGTGGTGTTATGTGTGTATTGAGTTTCGCCGGCTGCAGCGTCACCAGGCACATACCCAGCACAAGGACAGAAAAGTCCACCGGTGGTGAGCGAGACGGACTATTGTACCGAGCCAGGCTTTCTTGAAACAGTTCGTACGATACTACTGGAAGCCAATTATGAAAGTTGCTGAAATACCGGCGACTGATTTCCGGCTCTGAGAGGCCCGCCAATTGAATGATGCGGCATACATGATACCATGTCCTTCTGGGTGCTGTTGACATGTTTTCGGACGGTGGGCCAAACAGGGAAACCATCTGTAACAATAACGCATTTGTTTCTATCTGAGTGATCGCATCTGCGACGGGTTCTTCAGCGACGGGAGATCCTTGGTATCGACATGGCAGGTTCCGTTTGGCGCAGTAACCGCAGGTTGGGAGATTCTTGTCACATCCCTTCTTCCTTGATTTGCAGGTCAAGCACACATGCAACGCCCGCTCTACCACCGGTACCTTCATTCTTCCCTATTTTCTTCACTTTGGGTTTTTCGATCGGCCAGTCGCAACAAGGGAGCGTGTATCTATTGGTGTCCGTCGAGCTCTTATTGAACAGTTAGTCTCGGACATAAGGTGTTGAAGGAAACACAAGAGAGCAAATATTAGCAAGGGGTCAAATCAGTTGACTCACTGGGACTGTCGGCCGCCGCTAGGCCCTTGTGGCCGATCGCGGCGTGGATGATGATGATGGTGTCTTATAGATGGATCGACAACTTGCCATGCCAGGGACACGTCACGTGATGAACCAGCTGCCTGATGGGACCAGCGGCCGCCACTAGTCCCGTTCTGGACAACTGGTTATCCCCAAGGCAGCGCTGTCATTGGCTGATTGGCCAGCTGGAATGCCATTGCGACTTCGGTGGGTACACAACAGCTGCATGGATGAGTATTGCTTCCGTCACCTCTCTCCAGTATGCTGAGATCTTCATTTATAATGAATGCCCTTGCGTTTTGTCGCGAATCTTCGCAATGCAATTACTCTCAGCTGAAGCTCCATGTCTTTGGGCAGTCGTCGTCGTTTGTTCTTCCCGATCTGCCACAACATATACATCGTTCTATACTCCGGTTCAATAGCTTATCATGGCACGCATCAACGATCTAAATCAAATTGAGAAGCAACTACCGCAGGTAGAAAGTAGGCCAGGGCGGCAGAATGATATACACACCCGAGCCAACAACCGAGAAACGCCCCTGTTGAATCCTGACTTCAAAGTCACATTCGGAAAGGATGATCCTGACGACCCACGCAACTTTGGCAACTGGCACAAGGTCTATATCACCTGCCAGCTGAGCATGCTCACCTTTGTTGCGGCATTGGGCTCATCTATCTTGTCCCCGGGACAATCAGATGTAGCGGAGTATACCAACATTAGCTCCGAGGTTGCGGTGCTCGCGACTTCAATGTATATCCTTGGTTTGCCTATACGCCACTCAAATTCAGTTTCATTCGCTCACTCCTGCAGGCTGGGCGGTCGGTCCAACGTTATGGGGCCCAATAAGCGAGGTTTATGGCCGCAAATGGGGGATGCTTCCAGCTCTCTTTTGCTTAGGCTTGTTCAGTATCGGAACGGCAGTAAGCCAGAACGCCGCCAGCATCTTCATTACCAGGTTCATTGGTGGGATCTTTGGCTCTGCACCAATTAGCAATGCCAATGCAGCGTTAAGCGACATTTACGCACCGAAAGAGCGAGGCATAGCCGTGGCATTCATGATGCTGTGTATCACAGGAGGGCCATCTGTTGGACCTCTCATTGGCTCTGCAGTGGTTTCAAATTCGAAGCTTGGGTGGCGTTGTAAGAGTTGGCACAAGTAACCTCAGTTGTACCAAGCTGATGAATTTAGGGACCATGTATATCGAAGCTATCTGTTGTTTTGCCTTATTTGCCCTTGCTACCTTGACCCTGTCAGAAACATATTCTCCTGTCTTGTTGAAAAATAGGGCACAGAATATGCGCAAGACGACAGGAGAAGAGCGATACTGGCATCCTCACGAACATGAGAGCATCAGCCTCAAAAATGCAGTTACGAAACATTTCCTTCGTCCGATACGGTGTGTCTTCGCGCGTGGCTCTTATCGTTAACAATACCTGACTTTCCCCAGCATGTTGACAACCGAAAGCATCCTGGCCTGTGTCGCAGCGTACGTATCTTTCTCGTATGGTTTAATCTATCTATGTCTCCAGGTATACCCGATTGTATTTGAAGAAGTACGTGGATACAGTCCAGTGATTGCTTCCTTGCCATTCCTCGGGATCCTTGTCGGCACAGCTTGTGCTGTCGGAATCACCTTTGCGTATCGAACACGGTATGCCAAAGCGGTTATGGATAACGGTGGAAAGGCTGTTCCTGAAGCACGACTTCCCCCACTGGTGCTCGGGGTAATTTTTCTTCCAACAGGACTATTCTGGCTTGGATGGACCGCAGCACCAAATTTTTCGTGGGTACTGCCCACGGTTGGAGGAGGTATGCCATAAGATTCTCCCACGATGTCAAAAGACAGACTGACATTTATGCAGTGTTCGTCGGCGCCGGAAACAACATCATCTTCCAGCAATGTATTAACTATTTGATCGACACGTACGGGCCGTATGCCGCGAGTGCAGTTTCAGCGAACACCATGCTGAGATCCTTCGTGGCCGCGGGGTTGCCATTGGCGGCGAAGCCAATGTTCCACAATCTGGGCGTGGGGCCTGCTGCTAGTTTAATGGGAGGCATCGCCTGCCTTGCATTTCCCATACCATTCGTTTTCATGAAGTATGGACGCACCCTGCGCGAAAAGTCAAAATTCGCACCAGCCAGTTCGGACTAGTTCTCTTACATTCTGTCACTGGCGAACATAGCAATATCCCCGCCACCCTGCGTCGGTGATGAAGTGACGTCCGACGTCTGACTGAATAGACGCCATCGATGTACCACATATATAAACACAACACTTAGTGTCATGATATTAGATCATGCTTACTCACAGACATAATATAACTCTACAATATCAGTCATGTATAATTTGTCAGTCGAGTGGCAACAAGACATTGCTCAAGTCGATCGCTCTATACGATACACTGTAGTTATGATAAATATTCCGAACCCTTTCGGTCATAACCAACGAAAGCAGCATATCCTTGCGAGACCCCGCATAGCTCAGCTTTAAGCCGGGTCGTGGGTTTGGCCCTAGACAGATCCTTCAGAATGGAGGGAGACAGATAGTACAGAGCTGAAGTTAACACGGCCGTCTAGCACAACTTCCGCCAATATTGTCCACATTTATGGGTGTCACTGATGCCGACCACACAACGAAACGAGGACAGGCAAATAAGTTTTTACTACAGTAAGGACCAAGGATTTGCAAAATGATAGCACTGCCAGAACGGCCCAATTGCCGAGGACATGATCTGCAATATTGGCCGTCCGTGCTCATCGTACCCCGGCTACTGCATCTTGTTTCGGCACAATGCCTGCAAATAGGTGATGCTGCAGTGGTTGGCGGGATGGGAGTTTTGGTGAGCATGAAGAAAATAGGGTGGGTTGCAAAGAGAGAGGGACAAGAGCCGGGCAGAAGGGTGGATAAATGGAGGAAATCTACAGTATATGTAAATACAGCAAGCACTTTTTCTGGAGCTTCTGTTCCTCACAATCAATAAGAAAGGGGTCGTTATAACGCTCAGTGCCGTGAAACTCTTATTCTTATTGACGCAGTGATGTCCCACTTAGTCCATATGGTTAGAAGGCCCAGAAGGAAATAACATGCTGCGGAACCGGCTCCTGAAAGGGAAATTAAAAAAAAATCTTGTCTGCTAAAAAAGTTTCATTGCTGCGCATTGTTAACTTCACATTCAGTATCAATAGTGATATACAAACAAGGACAGACTCCAATCATCACAGAAAAACACGCACTCCTCCTCCTGGAAATACAGATTCCCACACGGTATGCGTGAATATCATAGAGATTTTTGAGGTCATTCATCCTAACCAAGCAAGTCCACGCAGATACAATACCTGGACAATACACCGGGACTGTCAAACAGTACAATGATGAGGGCCAGTTTGGCTATGTAAGCCCAGCTTTCGGAGGAGAGGACATCTATTTCATCTTCGAACCTTCATTTGAATTACGCGATTCTCAGCCACCTAAAGCGAGCCAGCGTGTGTTCTTTGATTTGCTCCAGGGTGCTGGGGGTTCAGCAAGCTGTTAATGTTGAGGTGGTGCCCTGATTTCAGGGAGGGGGTGCCAAATCGCGGAGTTATCTCTAATTGTATGTTGAAGTCTTGGGTTAAGGGATAGTTAATTAGTGCTGTTTGATCATCCTGTATCCTTATTTATGAATATGATTAGGTCTTGTTCTTGCTTTGGTACTAGATTGACGGTGACGTTATGATCGTATTGTTTGATTTGGGAATCGATCCGTAGTTACCCTCCTAGATCTCGGGATTTTTTTCCTGGATGAAGCAGGAATATCTACCAAGTAAATGCCTCCTCGAAGTACCGTATCCCCTGACACGGCCTTCTCATCGCCTCATACACCGCTAACCGACACTCATCGGCCATCATCCCCGGTCCGGAGCACACTACGGCTAGCCTCGTGCTGCAGTCATGAGCCTTTCCAGCCTCCGTCTCAACAGCTCCACGAATATCAGGTCGACCGACATAAAAGTGTATATCTGCCCCTGCTCTCCTGGTACCAGACCCAACATCCACCTCTTTATCGCTCCCAATTGGTGACACCGGAGCACTTCCAGTACAGAAAAAGCTAACTTTAAGACCCTCACATTCCAAGACATGGCTCAGTTCTTCGGTGAATACAGTAGAGAACATACTCTTCTGACGAGCAGTCCAAATGAGATGTACTCTTGTCGTCTTCGTAGTTTGTCTCTTCAACCGGGCGGCATAGTTGAGTATATACGGCAACGTTGCTGCGATGCCCGTCCCACCGGCGATTAACAACACTGTGTCGAAGGTATGCAGCGGTGCCATGTGGCCATATGGACCTTCTAGCAGGAGGAGTGGGTGGATAGTACTATTTGCTTGGATGCAGCGATCACGAAGGGATTTTGTCCAGCCGTTGTAAGGACGAACGTAGAATCTCACCATGCTTTTCTCCTTCGGCAGACGGCATGATGCTTGGGCGTATGCACCCAGTGCGAAAGGGTGGTTTTCTAAACAATGTACGCTCAGAGGCTGGGAGAGGAAGTAGTGTTGGCCTGGCTTGGGTGTGAGATGGGAGGGTGCCTCTATATCTATCGTCATTAGGTCGCTGTCGGGAGCGTATGTAACCGTTGATGATGGCAGGGAGATTCTGCTTTTGTTGAACTGTATGTGGAGGTTACAGTATACCAGGCGAAGTACGCGGAGGATGCGATCGAAGGTCCATATAGCTACGACAGTCCATAGGTATGGGTTCCACTGCGGTCCGTCGGGGCGGGTATGTCTGATGGGTTAGTAGGAAGGTGAGGAATTGGAGGCGTAGACCTACTGAAATAGAGCATAGATTATGACGATGGCTAGTACGATGTGGGAGATGAGGAATACCTCGTACCACTTGCGTCGTAGCCATGTGATGGAGTGGACTAACAAAACTGACATGCCAATAACCGCCTGAAGATGTTAGTAAAGGCCAGCAGAGGATGCAACTAGACTCACAATCACGCCCATGTACCATGGCTTATGGCTCCACGCTTCATGATATGCGTCCTCTGAATTTTTAGTAATGCAATTGAAGTGAGGACGAAAGGCTTACCGTAGTCTGCTAGAATGATGCTGTACCCTATCGAGTGGACAATGGCGAGTAGTGTGCACGCCCATGCAATATGCCGATGGAAAGTGCTGAAGGATTGAATGTCAAAGTTGGTAACCCAGAGGAAGATGTTGTTGCGTCCACTGAAAAGCCATAAGAATGGTAGACAAGCATAGGCAAGAATACCGGTCCGATCGGACGAATAATGCCAGTTGCGCTGGGGCATGGTCGACGTCCTAGTACTGTTAGCTTTGGTCATAGGAAAACTTGGGATTCTTACCTAGTGTCTCCATCGTAGTTGACACAAGCTAAAAGGACACAGAGGAGCCAGAACCCGAAAGCGATTATCAAATCAAGTCGCTTGGGAATGCAATGTCCATAAAGAAGTCGCTGGTGATGAGGCAGTTTTGGAGTGAAGCTTGCCGGAACCACAATATGGGTACGCAGAGCATGGATGGTTGAAGATAAGGGACTAGGGATTTGCTTGTGTTCGATAGGCCCAGGGACTGCATTGGCTTCAGTATCCCTGCGAGGGTCCATAGTCCGCCTAACCGTCCAAAAGCTAAGGATTTTCTGCACCATTCCGAGACCCAGGATAGCTCCCCAGTAGCCCATTAACCCCCAGCCGAACCGGATATCCTGACCCAGAGCCTTTTCATGGATAACCTTTTGCAGAGATTAGGCGTCTTTATATTTGATGAGGACAGGATGTACATACACATGTTTTGTACGCCCGCTTGTAGTATGACTCGCTCAAGAGGACAGGTGATTTGATGGTGCCAGTAGAGGTGGTCGTATTGATATCCGGATCAAGTATTGGCGTTGAGTCGTACGAACCTGATCCATTGGGCTCAATAGACGCAAGATCGACGTCGCACAATTCCTGCCAGAACGAGATGGTAGCCGCTGGACTACTTCCATCACATCTCGCTCTTGCACTCGCATACATGGAAGCAACTTCCACCGTTCTGTTGCAGATGGCCCCAAAGTTTGTTGTTGTCTCTATATAGCTTTCCTCGGCAAAGAATGACGTCACTGATATTGAATGATTGTAAATGCCTCCGGCAGGACCACTAGCAAATGTGTATTTTGATAGAGCGGTGTATATTGGACAAAGACAATCTGCATCGAGGCTACTAATGACATCGAGGGAGCGTTTCTGCTCCGCCAGGGCAGGGACAAAGATAGCTAAGAAGGAAATTTGCAAGAGCATTTCGCTTGTCAATATTGATTGTGAACTGACAACAGCCTGTTGCGCCACCCGGCAAATTATAGGTGCAACTCCCGGATAAAAACATTTTGACTTTCATCAAGGTCCTTCATATGCAGCACTGCCCGCACTCTAGTCAGCTATATTAATATCATGCCGTTTCCTGGAACAGCGTGTGTATGCGTCAACCCAACGTGCGGGAGCGGGGCATAGGCCTGGAGACGGTGACTGTGGAGATCTCGCAGATGACCACGGAAGGAGGCCCGTAACAAGGTGTTCAGGCGGTCTTTGGTCCGCATGAGGGGGAGGGGCACCATGAGGGGATGAATGGGGATAGAAAGATAGTGTGGCTGTTGCAAGGCACACTCACAACGTAGGCAGTGGAAGGCACCACGATATTTACATTGCTTGCTTCTTTTGCTAACCACTAAACTCCCAGCCCTGACAATTGACACTGTAGTCAAAAGATAAAGATGGAATCGGAAAAAGCAAATAAAAGTTTGAAATGTCCACGGATCTGCAAGTGGTAGGCAGCACAAAAACAAGCCTTCCGTCGATTCTTGGCTGTTCTGCACGATGGTCATGGACGGGACAGGATGCATGAAGTAATGAGACTAACTTAGAGTATTTCTAAATGTCCCGTCATTTTGGGTCGGTCGGACACGTGTAGAAAGGCGACACGACCGGGAATTTGTTTCACACGTCTCCATATTAGGGACCTTGGAGGTTTCTTCCACGATGACAGTTCATAAAATTGCTTTAGCGATAGATGCCGTCACTACTAAAGAGATAATATTACTGTAGAGAATCATTCTCGTCTTGCCAGGGATACAAAGTTGTCCGGAAAAGTGACCCCAATGGGGACCAGTCTACATGATGCTTTCATCTCCAGCCCTAAATGCTGAAGCTCCAATCTACCCATCCACCCAGTATAAGTTTTGTTATTTTCGTAGGGAGGCATCACCACTGCATCGAATGCGTCAGACACACTTCCCCGCAATTACTTCTCCTCATCCCACTTGAGATACATACCTCTCCAATTTCCTTTGCCGGAGGCTCTCCCTCTCCAGCAAGGTATCCCAATGATGCCACATCCGACTGAACCGCAACCCCGCATTCCACCTGCAAGCCATCCCGTCCACCCTTTCATGAATGGCTGCGTTATTTCAGTTTGGTCATCGGACTCGGCAATCTGCATGTATGACATCGTTGTAGTAGCATGAAAATTCGTGGGAACTTACATAACCGAGGTGCTGGTATTTCCACCCGGAAATATACAATAGTCTACTCACGAGGCCAGGAAAGGAGAGTAGACTATGTGGGAAATTTGGACAAAGATAGGTGGAATCAACATGGGCAGAAGGACTGAAATACGCGTCTGGCAAAGAGGCAAAGATGAATGGATATGTTTGCAGAGAAGGTATAAAATGCTGCTAGTATTTCAAAATTGGGGGGGCGGTCGGATCTCAAGCTTATCCACAGAAAGATCGTAACTAGATAATGCGGTAATAGTAATTCTTTTCTACTTGAACACGCAGATTAGGTGATATGAGCAATCTTGAAGGTGCCTCATATCTCAGTCACAGGTCATTGGCTATTCCCCTAAAGCCGTGACTACTATCCACCCCCAAGAGGAAGTATCAATTCTGCCAATAAATATATAAAAACCACCATCCTCCACCTATATCTATCCTGCATCTCCCAACTCTCTACCTAATATCCCAAATAGGCAGCTATATAGCAACCTTGGACACAATCGTAATATATATCGAGTTATATCAAGAAAGGAAATATACTTTCCTCACATTATCTCTATCATAATAACTTTGAAGAAAACACTGTAGCACGAATTCCTTGAAAGTCTTAGCATCCCCTGTCATATCATACAACTCGCAACCTGTTACTGCGACCGATAGCCTCCAGCCAAGACGCATGAGTGATGGCGAGCACTCATGGGCCAGGGGATATTACCAGCGAGAATTTGATAACGAGGACGAGGTACCATATCACAAATTCGAGATTGATATCGTACATCATTCCGTATATAGGGGATGATCCACAGCACCAGCCTCATTCAAAGTTTGCCGTTCTCGATTAGAGGCTGATCATAAGCTTTATCACAAGCATTAAAGCAATCTAATTGCAAATGAAGACTATTTTGAACGCCGAGAGGCTGACCTGCCCATCTCTGAGCCTGAGGATCTGAAAAGGGCCGATGACAATCTCTTTTGAACTGGATGGTTGGCAGGATAACCGACCGTCAATGGGCGGATGATGTCGCATCATCAACGTCGGGCATCGGGGTGGTGCCTTGGAACCTCCCCGACGAACAAGAAATGTAGGAGCCAGCTTAGAGCCGGCCGCCAGTCGGCCTCAGTATACCAACCTCAAATCTCAACAAGACATCAGCCTGGAAGATACCCCTACGCGTTGTTGCACAACTGAGGTTCAACCTTCAAAGGGCAGTCTCAAACTCTCCGCACTCACGGACCGAGTCCCCTCGTTCAAGCTTTGCGTTGACAATATAATCAATCAGAACTGGTCTTTCATTTATTCGAGCACCAATCAGATGATACAAATTGCAACAGTCGTAAAAAGGGTTGGATTGAGTGGTTCATGGCACAGATATTATCGAGCACTACCACTTCAGCTATATTAATCGGACGAAAAAGTATATTCATAACACAAAAGGGACTATTATTTCAGGCATAGTTAGTTGCAGAAGTGTTATGCTCAAGAGACATCTGTTCATGTTAAAGTCGAAAGCAAAAGACGTCAGGGCCACCATTCTTATATTGAGCTATGGCTAAATTCATTTTTCTTCCCAGTTCCCGAAGGGATACATCTTTATTATCTCAAAGGTCCAGGGCGAAAAGCATAACCTCACAGTGGAGTACACTTCACGCTAGTACAAATATATAAGGTCCCCCGAGAGTTTTCATAAATATACATTAATCCTGTAAAGCACCATGTGCTCTATGACCGTGCAATCAGGGTCGTCATTTTAGTCAAATCCGAATTTATGCGGGCTGTCGAGCCAGAACTTGTCAGTCCGGATTTTACAGAAATGCATGCTATTTTTGGAGATCGGATCGTCCAGGGCAGGCTTGCCATTCGGGCGAATAAGGGAGTTTCATCTAGTTGTGCGCGGTATAGTAGGTTGAATATCTGCGTAGTATGCTGGAGGGAGCTGGTCTAGCTTCCTTGCTGTAGGGAAAGCGGCATATGGAAGAAGGACCCGGAGTGTCTTCTGTTAATGGTGCTAGTTATTACTGGAGTAGCTAGCTATCTGCCGAACACTAAAGCGGGCGAAATGCCGCGTCTCCGCAAGTGGTTGTCCTTGTAAGTAGAACTCAGGTGGCGCTCACTACCCACCAGGTTTCCTGTATTTCCTGCCTTGCCGCCAGACCCGGGCTATAGAACATCGTACAAAAGGTTAGGCACTTGTAAGTAGCTAGAAGGACCGAGAAGAGCAGAGAAAAGGCTACAATGCGATAGCAAAGTCTTGGTTCTATGGCAAAAACACCACTACATCTGTCCGCGTGACTGTAGCAAAACGTGGCGGGTCCGAAATTAACGTAGATAAATATAGTTAAGCTAGACAAGGTCTTGTGACCTGCCAACTTAACTACGAAGCTGGAGCTTCGAAAAGCTTCGATCCGTGCAGAGCACAACACGATTATTGCGGTCCAGCCAGCAATTGTTGCAGTGCAGTCAGCAGTTGGACGGGAATCCGGCCCAGATCCGACAGCCGAGGAGAAGGCGAAGAAGGGGGAGGCGGGCTTCTGGGCCCGGCTGGACCAATGCGATAGCAGTTGAGTTGATTAGTTAGCCGGTGGCAAGGTTTGGTCACGGGGTTGTGCCACAATCAGAAATCGTTCCTGAACCAACAATTCCATCCATTCCATTCATCGGCCCGAGCAAAGCGTGGCCCAGCGAAAAAGAAAAAAAATTTGCCTCGTGTTCCTGAATTCGCCCGATCAGGTCATCCCGTAGTTGACAATGTCGTTGTTGTCCCTTCCTGCCACATCAGCAGCAGCAGCAGCAGTCATGCCACACAGGGCAAGGGATACATGCGGTAACCCCAATTCCGGAGATCGGCGCTTGGCTTTCCAGCTCGATTGATCTGGAGGGAAGAAACACCGCCTTTTCGAGTTGGGGACAGCCTCAGGCTAGGAATTTTAAGGTTAACTTTTTCTAGTAAAGTCTGTCGTACATCTTCTGGGGGTGAGCGTGGCTTGCTATCATTCAGGCAAGTTGGGATCACCCCCAGTTCCCTACCCACCCTAAGACTTAAAATGTAGTACCAAGACAGCTCTATCAACTGTAACAAAAAAGACCTCAGGAGATCTTCCCTGCCAACTCAGCGAGGCCATGACATGGCGTCTATCAAGCCGGTCGCTGGTAAAATGTCGGTGTCATATTTTTAGGTCGCCTGATCGCCGCGAAGAGGTTTCCCCCAATCCTTGGTGTGTGGGCGAAGAGTTGATGCTCGCCCCTGAATGGATTGCTTCCGGCGTTCCACTCCATCCATCGCGGTGGGCCCGCCCACACCCCCTTCGCTTTCGGTATTTATTCTGGCACGCCTTGGGGGGCGATGCTTTTTTATCCCCATCAGGTCGCCAGAATAGCCCACACTTCCACTCTTTTCACCTCAGTTCCAATTCAGGACACTGATTTCCCTCACCACCATGGCTTTCGATTGCTACTGCGCAATCTGCGGTGTTGGTTTCTGTGGCATGCACATCGAGGCCCCGTCTGAGACAGCCCTCGAGCGCCGCAGGCGGTGGATCGAAAAGCGATGCCGGGCGCTGCAGGCCGGCAAAGACTTCAGGCAGGTGTCCCACGAGGGAGAGGAAAATGAGGAGCCCGTCCGCAGCTACGATCCCCGCATTGTTGGCTGGGACAATATCTCCTGGCTGTATAAGGCACACTGCCTGGGTGTGAATGAAAACGCTAAACCGGGTGCGCCAAAGTAGGTGCTGCTGCTGTTCGCGCGGTCGGAGGGACCCGTTTAACAATCTTTTAGAGCGTTTCTCTCGGATGAAGGATACTATGCCGATATTGTAGGCCCTCATTGAGTGCGAATCCATGCGATCGAAGCTAATTTACGTATTAGGGCGAGTTTGTCGTCAAGGCCAAATCTGGTATGCTGATTGAACGAATGTGCTTGGGTACACGTTATTGACCTTCATGCAGATGGTTCTCGGTCGCGTTCTCAGCGCGTTTATTCATGGTGTGACAAACCCACTTCGTACGCCCGTCTTGATGACCCATTCTGACCGTTCAAAGCTATGGCCATGGCTCGGAGGAAGCGCCCGGTCCCGTCTTACCGTTCCACTGGTGCTGTTTTGAGATCTTAACTCGCGCACTGACGGGTACGACTGACACAAAAAACGTCAATCTGGACGTGTTGTACAATATCATGACGCCGTTGTGCAACATGTCCGGGTCCGCCCTGCAATTGAGCTACGGAGACGACATCCAGCGCTCGCAAGGCCGCTACTGGGAATGTATCCCGGGCGCAGAGGCAAGCATATCGTTACCGAGCTGCGTCTAAAACCATGTTAACAATCGGAGCAGTATTGTGCCGCCCACCCGGTGGAAACACCCGGACTCGATGAACACCTCCAAAGCAATATGGAGACGAACAGCGGCTTGAAAACCCCGTTCGTGGAGCTGGACCTCCGCGACCGGAAGCCTGTCAGCCCATTCGGCAAACTGCCCCTTGAGATCGTCTATCAGATCTGCAAGTTCTTGCCTAGCGATTCGCTAAAGGCACTGACTGAAGCCTCCCTGCACATTCACCTCGTCACCCAGGATAATCTATTCTGGAAGCAATATATGCAGCAGAATATGCCATGGTTCTGGGAGCTTCAGGCAGCAAAGAACCAGAAGGTCCCGGCGGATCTCAATTATAAGAGGATGTACATGTGGCTCGAAAAGATGACTGCCCCGCGGTACGGTATGGACGATGTGAAGTTGATTGGTGTCGCCAACCGGAGACGCATCTGGGGTGTTTGCGAGGATCTTGCGGATCGGTACAACACGAGCCTGAATCAGCCCACAGTTAGCGCAACGCAGTGGGAAAGTGGCTGAGGGACTGTACTCTAGGCTGTGATAAGATGGAGAAATAGTCCCGCCCGACAGTCTGGCGAGATGCCCGACCGATGGCTCCCCACGACGCGCTTCAACCTGAGCGTACGACACGTCGTGTCAGAGTCGACCATTTATGGGAGTCCCGTAACGCGTGTGACCTGGTGATATGGATCAATCACAAGTAGCTTGCTGGATGTGCAGGGTGAACGTGAGAGGAAGACTGGAAACAGTTTTGATCCTTCGGTCAGGTTCGTCAGGAAGGTGGAGAGACCAAAGTTGGGCACGAGATTTGGGCGATCAGGTCATGTGCTGCGGAGTACTTGCACTCGATACCTTAGCACTAATACTTACTCTGGATTCCCAAGTGTTGTAGACATGTATCTCATAGAGCCAACCCTTTGTTGATAGTTTACTACTTCTCCAACGAATATGTTCTTCGGGAGTCTACAGCCAGCTGCATAACAATGGTACATGTCGAATCCTCCATGCCATTGCCCCCAAATCTATACTTTCAATTTTACTATTGTCCTGCCCCGGAATAAATACAAATATCAACAGCTTAATCAGAATATCCCACATAGGTGTGAAGCACACAAGCACATCCACCTTCAATCAATCCGCCTTGTTCTTCGCAAACCGCCCCGTAAACCTCCGAATCGGCTTCCCCCAGATAAACACCGGAATCCCCAACAGCCCAAACGCCGCCGTCAAGGCCGCATACGTCCCAAAAGCCCCATCGTACCCATGAAGCGCAATAAACGGCGACACAGCATAACTCGTCCCAAAGGAGATGAACCCTCGAAAGGCGCAGATGATAACCAACAGTGGCCCCGACCTCCCCGGATAACTATCAAGTAGGTACGTAATGCCCACGATATTCGCCCCAACGAAGCAAAAGTAGTACGCTGCTACCGTCCAGGCATATATGAACCAGTGGTATTGGTAAGGGTGGGCGCCACCTTGGCCATATAGTGCTGCCGTGAAGGTTCCGACGATGATGGGGAAGATGAGAGGAATGATGCGGATTTCGGGCTCGTGAATACCGTTGTTGCGTTTGGCAAAGTATTTCACTAGGTAGTCAGAGCCGTGGCCGAGGAGGGGCAGGGCAACGATGGCGACGATGATCTGGCCGCAGTTGATGTAGCTTGCGCTGCTGTCGGGCCAGTTGTAGGGTGGGTTGGCGAGGATGGTGCTGTAGGTGGTGCCGATGGCGACGTTGACGCCGATAGTGAGGCCGTTTAGAAGCAGGGCCCAGAGGACGTTCGGGAAGAAGAGGAGTTCCAAGGTTTGCTGGCTGCCGTTAGAGAGATGTAGGGATGGTTCTGTTTGCACATGTACTTACTCTTAGTACGTCCCAGGTTTCTGTCCACTGGGGCTCCCCGACCCAGAGTCGCATGTCGGATTTCCATGTGCGCCGTGTGTATCTCTCGAAGTCTAAATCGGGGCGGACGGTGCATACCTCGACTCTCAGGTTCTTTTTGAGGTCAGAAGAGCTGTTTATTGGGTCGGAGGTTGTTTCCTGGTAGGATGTGAGAGGGCGGTCGTATTTCGTTTCTGGTAGGAGGACAAGAGCAACTAAGAGCAGTGCTCCAGCAAGGCCGGCTCCAAGACCGTACCACCCCTCTGGTGTGATGGACTGGGCAATTGGGCCTGCGAATAGTGTCCATACAGATGTTAGGGAAACTTGGATAGCTAGTTGTACCATGAGGGCCTTGCTGCGCTCATGGAGGAAGAAGATCTCCTGGGGGAAGCAAGTCAGGACGTTGGTTTAGAATGGTTACGTGGATCACCTACCTGGGTAATCATTGGAATCAATGCCTCACTCTGTCCGGCTGCTAAGCCAAGCACCATCCGAGCACCAAGATGCCATTCGTATGTCTTCGCAGTTGCACATAGTACCGATCCGAGGACGAGCACGACAGTTGAGACTAGGAGGACAATTCTCCTTCCAACGCCAATTGCTATTGGCATACCGATAAGGTTCCCAATGCCCCTGGTCCAGAATTAGCTCTGCCCTCAGTTTGGTGCTTCATAACTCACATGAACAACGTCGGGTATGTCATCAAGTTAGTAATGTCATCATAGTCCTTTCCTGCAGCTGTATATCCTGGAATATAGAATTGCAGTAGTCCTCCGAACCCACTGACCAAAGCCAAACCCAGACATGAGACTACACACGATCAGGATGGCCAAAATCAGTTCTGGGAAGGTCCGTCACATACAGATAGAGATGACAATAAGTATAATGGACTTCTGCCAAAAAGACATATTCAAAGGATCTGTTCATTGTTATTCTTGATATCATTCTCGATAGCATAGTCGCTCACCTTGCGGATCAGCGGTGGGAGTGGGAATATACACCACCGTTCCCTCCGTGATCTTCACAGTGCCCATCACCTTCCCCTTGGCCCTCGTAATTCCTCCCTCCTCGATGTCCTCCACGTAGACCACATCTTTCTTTGTGGTGTCATCCATTATGCAAAACTGGAGGATTGTTGGTGCGTGCGTCTTGCTTACCCATAGAGGGTGTGAGCGGTGGTAGTATGTAGCATGGCCCAGCAGATCGTATAAATATATTCGCCATACTATCCGTAAATACCCATGTGACTGACAGCAAACACAAGAAAAGCAGATCATCTCGCCAGACCACCACCATAACCGTGCCGAACCTTGACCGTGATGAGTATAGCTTCGAAGCTACCAAAGCTTCCCCGCATTCCGATAGCCAAGTCGCTACCAATGGCCTCGGGGAAGAGCTGGCTCGGGGCCTCGCCGAGATCTAGTGCTCCGAAGGCTAGTATGGAAGATAGTTCGGCGGGGTTAAATCGACTACTCGGAGCAAAAACTAATATCCACGTAGCGGAGCCGAGTCGGGCGCGCGTCAGTTGATTCAGCGACTGGCATCTTTATTCGTGTATCGGATAACTTAGGTTACTTGAACAGTGTACAGGCAATGAAGCAGCAGTATGGAGAATAAAGCACGTAATATTGAACAACTATCTGACAGTCTGTATACAAATACGCAAAACTACCTAGTAAGCCTTGACACCCGCCAGCTTGAGGACCGTATCGGTCAATTCAGGCTTCTCATAAGGCTCCGTACGATCCTTAGGGCACACTTTTCCATTCCTCATCGGCTTGTCGGTAGACGGGCGGATATTGCTACAGGAATCAGCATGCAAATCAATACAGGCAGCGAAGAATTACCTACCAATGAGGCCAGTGGGTAGTCCCCATATAGTTCTCAAAACAATACTTCTTCAGCTCTAAGGCCTTTTCGGTCGCAAAGCGCCTCGGCGTCATGCAGACATACTGGACGTGGCGGATCTGGTCCCCTTCGGGCAGACAAGCATAGTGCATGGTCCGAGAATCCCAAAGGACCAAGTCACCGGGGTCCATATTAACCTTGATGAGCTCGCAGCCGCGGTCTTCGAACCACTTGAGATCCCTTTGGTGGAAAAGGAACAGGTCCATGTACTTGATCTCCGGTGGCGGAGCATCCTCGTGGTCGTAGGGATCACGGTCCTGCGCGAAGAACTCATCAAAAAGTTTGGCAGAACCCTTCATGAGCATAAGGCCGCCGTCTTTGGGGCCGTTGGGGGCAAAATTGACAAGGCCCTGCACTGCTTGCATGCTGTAACAACTTTAGTATCCTTCCGTCTAGTCCTAAGCACTTCGGTGACTTACCCCTTCCGGTTGGGGTTCTGGTCACAGTGTGGCCAGGGACTCCAGTTGACATCCTTTCGGCGCGGGAGGGAGATGTTCATGCCGTCGAAAGAGCTAAGAAGCTCCTTGGTCTCCCAGAGCTTCTCAAATATCTCAATGACGGCTGGCTCTGTGCGAGCTTCCCAGGCTATCTTCTCATGGGGTGCTGCGTAGCCATAGTACATGCTGGTCTTTTGTTAGTAGTCGTCAGCCCTTGGGAAGAAGTGAACTTACCCTCCCTTGAAGCTGATAGGAAGATGCTCAGTGGTCCAGGTACTCTCATCATTCTCGTCGAACCCAAGGTCAAAACTCTTCAGCCACTCGATCTGCTTGTCGCAGTAGTATTTGGCCCGTTCGGGACTAATCACGTTCTTGATGACGACGCAGCCATTTTTGTGAAACTCATCGCGCCAATCGCCGTAGTGACGGTCGCTGAAGTCGATCAGGTCCTTCACAGTGTAGGACTCGTTGGTCGCTTCGGCGATCTCTTGAATGACAGTGGTTGTTGACATGGTGCTTTCTTCAATCAATACTCAACTCGATCAATGATTATAATTGAACACTGATCTTTTCGTCGAGTCTTCGAGTGGGTGTTCAGAATTCACTTAAACATCCAGCAGCCTCAAGCTCCGAAGGGCTAACATCGTGTCCCGAAGCTCGGGGCCTTCATCAGTCTGGAGCGATGCGGGGAGCCCCGAGAACCCCGCCCTTGGCTTCGGAGGAGATGCTGACTTCGGGGCAGCCCGAGCTTCGGTCACGAAAGCCCCGAGACATGTGCAATACAAGGACACGAGAAGGCGGGGAATATGATGCGGGATAGATAACTTAAATGTGAAGAGATTGCAGTATGACCTGATTTGCTAGATTCAGTGAAAGCTTCCAAAGCAGTATACTAACATCACGTGCTACATTAAAAATGCCTCCTCCGGTCCAAGTCGCTTACAAACGTATCAAAGCCCCGAAAGAAGGCGAAAACGGCTACGTACGACCCCAATCAGGCAAATCAGAGGTCCTCCCAGCGGGATGGAATGGGTTCAATGCCAAGCCCATACAGAGCGACATTCGCATCGACCACGACGTCGAGATCGTTGTCCGTGATGGCGCAAGACTCTACGTCGACATTTACCGGCCGGCAGACTCTACCGAGAAAATCCCCGCTGTATTGAGCTGGTCCTTCTACGGCAAAAAGTACAGTGCACTCGACATGCTCCCCATGTGCGTGTGGAACTGCTGCGTGCCGCGCTCTGACTTGAGCGGTCTCGAGAAATTTGAGGGCCTCGATCCGGCGACATGGTGTCCGCGCGGGTATGCAATTGTCAGTGTTGACACGCGCGGCGCAGGAAATAGTGACGGTCTTATCACCGTTATGGGCTCTCAGGATGCGGAAGACGGATACGACGTCGTTGAAGCCATTGCAAAGATGGACTGGTGCAATGGGTGCATCGGCATGGCAGGGAACTCGGCCCTGGCAATCTCTCAGTGGTTCATTGCTTCTCAGCAGCCGCCGTCACTCAAGGCTATTGCACCATGGGAAGGATCGGGAGATATCTATCGTGAACAGTTTTGTCGCGGTGGGTGGTTCTCCATGAGCAACTTTGATCTTATCACAAACGAAATTGTTCGTGGACCGGCCAACTCCGGCATTGAGGATTTCGAGGAGATGTACCGCCGCTCGCCTGTTTCTAGCCCTTTCTGGGAGGATAAGCGGGCAGATATGACCAAAGTGCTTTGTCCCGTCTATATCCGAGGCTCAGATGTGAGCTCTATTCACACTATGGGGTCCGTTCGAGCCTGGCTAGAACTTCCACATGATAAGAAGTGGATTCGCTGGGGAAGCAAACAGGAGTGGTATGAGCTGTATAGCTGCCCGGAGTCCATGGATGAACTCTTCGTTTTCTTTGATCGCTATCTCAAGGGAATTGAGAATGACTGGGAGAAAACCCCCAAAGTGCGTTGGTCTGCGCTGCAGTTCGGGGATCGAGAGGCGATCGATGACATCGTGCTCGAGGATTTCCCATCGCCTACCACTGAATATCGAGAGTTCTTTCTCTCCTCGGAGAAGCTCCATCCAACTTTGATTGGGGCTTACGAAAAGATTTCCTACGATTCGGAGCTTACATCCAGCTTCGCCGAGTTCTCATACACGTTCGACAAACAAGCAAGACTAATTGGTCTACCGAAGGCGGTCTTGTACATGTCCTGCGAAGATCGAGATGACTTCATTGTTTTCGTCATCTTAAGAAAGAAGGATAAGAACGGGAAACCATTGATGCATCTCAATTTCCCATTCCACGCGACGCCGGTCAATTCCATTGACGAAATATCTGAGAAGGAACAGTCTAGCACGAACCTTCATTTGGGGTCTAATGGTATCCTTAGAGCTTCGCACCGTGCGATCGATGCAGATAAAAGCATTCACCCACAGTTCCCTTTCCACCCTCACACGGGTCAGGAGAAGGTCCGTCCTGGAGAGATTGTACGACTTGAGATTGGCATTTGGGCAATGGGCGTGGATTTTGACGCTGGTGAGACGATCAGCGTGCGGGTGAGTTACCATCGGTCTGCCAGATTATAGAAAGATGGATATATGCTAACAGTGAGGAAGGTCTCTGGCCAATACCCTAGTATTGCGGAGTATAAGACTTGGTCACAGCCGCGTCCGGAGGAGGAACTTAATCGTGGGAAGCATTTCATTCACTGTGGTGGGAAGTATCCTAGTTCTGTTATCTTGCCATTCATTTAGCGGGCTTATGTATCATGACTGTGGCCAGAGAGGTATGAGAATGTCACGAGCCAGCTTTCCAGAAAGCTTTCGGTATCATTTCAGCCTAGCCGACCTCATCTTAATGTAGAAAACCCAAGTTCTCTAGTAGTCTTCATATCTGTCTTCTATTGGATCTAAAATATTTGATCACAACACTCTCAGTACGTGCCCCTTCATCACCGCTATCGACAATGTACCGCACAACATCAATGACAACACCCCCCAAGAAGTTGATTTACATAATCCCGATTTTTCCACGACTTCATAGTCGTTCGCAAGATATCAATAGAGATGAAAGAAAGGTCCGATAGCTGGATACTTTCAGGTTCTACTCAATGTCAGTATGGCGATTACTTCTCTATATGAATGAGCCTTCACCTCTCATGCATGATGAATCCACGTTGATTCATACTTCTAGATATGAAGTACGGCACGTAGAAGGGCACACACACCCCCACGGTCAAATAACCCGATATTGCCAGCTTCGCGAGTGTTGCCATGCTTGCTAGGTACGCAGGGTATATAGTAGTAGTAAGCTGTCTTCATCTCCCAAATTGATATCTATAAACATCATCTGCTACAGATTCGGAATTTATGAAGGAGGCTCATGTGGTAAGACAAGTAATTATCCTGGTGCGTCTACTATAACACGAGTCGTAAGTTACCTCTGATGATAAAGCTGATTATCATAAAGCGAGCCGTATGAGTGCCTAGTTGAACTATAATATCTTGTTTGTAACTCGAGACCTCAATCAGAACCTTCCTTGACAGTCGACCGCTTGGACGCTACCAAATATTAATACACTCTACGCCGATTGGGCCCGAGGGACTCCGCACGGCGACTCATCGACTGCCAAGGCCCTAGTCACGAGTACAATCACGAAGCCACCTGACAGCATCTGGAAACTGGTTGCAGCAGGTGCGAAGAGGGCAGACTGCCGAAGGAGTTGTAAGGTATTCATTATCAGGCCCAGATCTCAGAAATGTGAGAGTCCGAGACGTTCCTCGTCGACACACCCTTCTTCACATCCCATGCCAAAGACCTAGCCTCAAGTATCGAGGAAACCCCCATAGGTAAGCTTCTTCGATATGTCTACATCACAAACGGTCACGGTGCCACTCGTCTGGCATAACTTTACTGCGAAAGGATTAGCCCAGTTTAAGTGCCACCCCCGGCACAGACGCGCTTATGATGGTACACGCAAGCTGGGTTATGCGAAGCAATGTGGCTTTTTCTCTCACCGGGAAGTCGGTTCCTGAACGAGCCAGGTATTGCTGATGTGACGGCGGCGGTTCCAAACAATTCAGGGTACAGGAATATAGATACATGCTTTGGCATCTGGCTGTTGAGTAGATCATGAGTTTTTGAGAAATATCTACGCCAGTGGTGGTGGTCAGGTATTTTGTTCCATCTCGTTGGATGCATGACAGAGTGTCATTTCGAGGAGAAGATCAGAATCCACTCAAACCGCTAACTAACTGTTAGGTTACTGATTACAAACCACGCATAGCAATATATCACAGTCTCTGAACATTACTCTCAAAACAAGGCCGTGTCTATCATCCCCCTCCCTGAGTAGAGCTGATAACCGTCAGGCAGTGAAGATCCCCCCAGCTCTCTGACGGGGAAATGCCGACGGGCTGATCAGTAATCGTGATTTATGTTCCCAGAAACACCTGAATGGCAACGTGATTGAGGTAAAGTAATCAAGCCTTGGTTTCTGACAAGTATTATCACCTAGCTACTCCTTGTCATACACAAGAAATATAGAATAGCGATGGACTATAGACATAGATGACATCACAGATAATATCCAGAAAAATCACTACCCAAGATGTCCCTCCAAAACACCTTTCAGCCCATCATAACAATAGACAAAGACCTCCCAATGGCTCAATAGCGCCGCATCATCTACATCCGTCCATTCCTCCTCTTTTATCTCAACTCCCTCATCGCAGAAATCATCTCTTTGCCGTCGGCGTCTGCATCATGACCGGCACCCGCGACCTCTTCTATAAAGTCATGTGGACGCTCGTCTTCTGTCCGCTAGGTATGGGCGGCGCCATGGGGGGACTGATAAATTGCTTTATTGTTGATCACTATTATGGGAAGAAGGCGGCTCACTTTACGGGTATTTTGTCGTTGCTGGTTTTGAGCGCTTGTAACTATCTGTGCTATAATTTGTACAGGCATTTTGGGTGGTTTGGGGCCAATGAGCATTTAATGTGGTTTCATTGGCGGTATCCGATGATTTGGACTGTTGATTACTGCAATGGGTTGCTTATGTTTACGGATAGGGGGCAGGAGAGGCTTGCTAGGTTGGGGTTGTAGGGTATCATGATATCCTAGCTGGGACATTGATCATCGGTCATGATCAATGCCACAATTGTACCTATTATAGGTCTCTCTTCAACAAATTTCTCCAGGGAACAGGGTCGTGGCTTGAAAAATTGGCTGAGTGAGTAGCCGCGAGTACAGCGATATGCGGCATGGGAATAAAAATTCCGACGCAAGCAGTTCTTATTGTCCCTTAAAGAGAATATATTTTATGAGAGTCATGGTGTAATGCATCTGTCTAATTTGCCGGAATACGGCTCACTGACTTTCAGGGTTTCCAGCCCGGGGCCATGGCGAGGCTCTCCAGTCGAAAGCCTGGAGCTGGGAGTGACCAGCATTTTTGATGCTCTGCAATGTAAGGTTTTCGGCTGAAAGTATGCATATACTCCTCGCCTTGGTGACAGTGTATAGAATGAATTTGTCATGAGGCTAACTCTCTTGAAATACGCAGAATCAATTCCGGCCGGAATTTGAATCCCGACAATGCGGGGATCCGGATCTCTCCATAAATGATCGATTCCACCCCATCATTATCTGCCGCAACACATTATCATCCTTTTCTGACCATACTCGATAGAATACATAATGCTGTCGAATAAACAAGCAATTGCCACCCTCTCCCTGGGCCAGCATCCCTCTCACACGCTGGACCAAAAGATCCGTGCTGCCTCCAAGCATGGCTTTACCGCCGTCGAAGTCGTTTACTCCGACCTCAAGAGGTACTCAGACGCCCTAGGTGTATCAATGCTAGAGGCTGCTGGAAAAATAAAGAACGTCTGTGACGACCTCCACGTCGAGATACTAGCGTTGGCGGCGTTCGAGAACTTTGAAGGAAACCGCACCCCATTGGATGAACGAATGACCACCGCAAAGCACTGGCTCGACGTTGCGCGCAAGCTGAATGCAACATATCTGCAAGTGCCATCCAACTACAGCCATGATGCCAGCACAGATAAAAACCTGATTGTATCGGATTTGCAGCAATTGGCAGATCTGGCTAGCGCTGAGGAACCCGTTGTATCGGTCGCGTATGAGCCCCTCTCCTGGGGTACATACTGTTCGACCTGGGACACAGCCCTGGAGCTTGTCGAGGCTGTTGATCGCAAGAACTTTGGTCTGTGCCTGGACACCTTCCACGAAGCCACCAAGCTTTGGGCGAGCCCGTTCGAGACGTCCGGAAAGTACCCGACAGCTGATAAGGACTTAACTGCCTCCCTTGTACGCTTTCTGAAGCAATGCCCTCTGGAGAAGATCTTTTACATCCAAATGTCGGACGGCGAGCTCTTCAACCCACCTTTCTCAAAGGCCCATCCGTGGTATCTAGAGGGTGAAGCACCGCAATTCACCTGGTCTAGACATGCTAGGCCATTCCCCTTCGAAACCGAGCTAGGCGGTTATATGCCCGTACTAGAAATTGTCAAGGCATGGGTAGTCGACAAGGGGTACACGGGCTGGATCTCGATGGAGGTATTTGACAGACGGATGTGCAGCGAGGAGTTCAATCCCGAGGATGCCGGCAAAAGAGCTAGGAAGTCATGGGAAACACTAAAAGACCGCCTCCGATCCCCCACTCCTTCTAAGATATAATCGTCGAATAAGCTCTTGCACAATTCAACACCGTAATAGTCCGTTCCTGAAATAGCAATAAAACTGCCGTGAAAGACTTCAATACCCGAGGCCCAGACCCTCCCGTAGTCCCCAACGGGAAATTACCCCCGAAACCTAGATGCACGTGACTCGCCCGATGGTTTGCCATCGGCGAACCCACTCCAACGTCCCCAATCCCATCATTCCCTAACTAATGCAAATCTGAACCGCCTGTTCCCTTAAACAAGACTTCTTTTTAGTCTTTACATCCTCTTATTAGATCCAAATGGTCCCCGACATCCCCAGGCCACCAACACTCCGCCGGTCATGCCAAGCCTGCGCGCGCGGCAAACGCCGCTGTGACCAGCTCTGGCCGCGCTGCACCCGATGCCAGACCCGGAAGATCGACTGCGAATACATCAACATCCCATTGACGGTGGGATCTGACACAGCCTCAACAAGTACCGCAACAACGATCACTACCAAATCAACGCTGTCGCCCAAACTCCCTCACAAGAAGCCAAGACAGCACTACCAATTAACCCACTCCATCCCCCTCTCCCTCCCCCTAGAGATCACAAAGGGCTACCCCCAACCCATCATTGCATACCTAGTCTCAGGCATGCGTGCATACCCATCCACCTTCGCCCGGAACATGAAAACCCACTTCATCCACCCAGACCTATGGCCCACCCCATCTTCTCCCCCTTTACCTATCAGGGACATTCACACCCTGTGTAAACTATACTCCACATCACCCACCACTACAAACAAAACCATCATCCCCCTCCTCAAACAGAAATCCTCCTCCCTCCTCCGCACCCTCAACCACACCTCCAGCTTCGAGAAAATGTTAGCCACCGTGCAGGCTCTCCTCCTCGCGCAATGCATGCTCATTCTCTCGGACCCCGACACAGACACATCATCACAAGCCTACTCCGAATCAATCAGCACTATGCTCTACAACCTCGGCCAGAAATTGTGGCAACAGGCCCCCATCCAATTACCGAGGAGTTTGAGCCCGCGCAGAGCGTGGCTATTCGCGGAGAGTGTGCGGAGGACGATCATTGTGGGATTCATGCTAAGGAGCGTGTACTCGCTCAAGATGCGGAATTATTCCGTCCGAACGCCGTTTGTGGATTCGTTGCCGTTTGATATGAGAACTGGGTTGTGGGATCGGGATGTTGGTGTTGATGGGGATGAGGGTGGGGAGTCCCTAGATGCGATGGTCTCGTTGCATCAGTATTCAGGCATGTTGGAGAGTGGTGTGGTCCATGGGATCTCGGACTTTGGGGGGTTGATTCTGGCGGCGTGTAGAGGAAGGGCGGTGCAGGGCGTGCCGTATCCTTCTCTTACTGCGTATGCGGGGCACTGATTACCTGAACCATTTCCATGGTGTCGTCTACTTTTTTTTGACTTGTAAGAAAAACGGGTAAGTTGAAGTCTTAAGTCTATTAAATCGTCTATCTAACAACAAACTCTAGGGAATAACAGGTATAATCACACCAAAAATTGCTTCAACACCGCATTCAACATCGCCGTCATATCCGCATACAAGCTCTGCCTCTTCGTCTCGAACGCCTGATAGATATCATTCGCCGATCCCACAGCAATCTGATCCTCACCATTCTGCAAGCGACTCCAAACCTCACCGATAAACTCATCCAACGGCATACCAATCAAGTGTCCATCCTTCAAATCAGGCTGGTGCTTGGCATCGTGCAGCTCGGTCTGCACCGCAGGCGGGTAAATCTCGAGCACCTTGACGTTACCGGGCCCCTCAGCGACCTGCGTCCGCAGGGCAAGGATGAAGTGGTGCAGGGCGGCCTTGGAGGCGCCGTAGTTGGGGCAGCGCATCATGGGCACGAGGGCCATTTGGGAGGTGGTGTAGGCGAGGGCGGTCTGGGTAGGGAGTGATTGCAGGTGGGGGAGGAAGGCCTTGGTGAGGTAGACGGGGGCAGTGTAGTTGGTGATGAGCTCGGTGTCGAAGGTGGTGAGGTCGACGGTGTTGGGTTTGGAGAAGTCGAAGGGGCGCTGGATGCCGGAGTTGACGAAGATGCAATCCAGGTCGGGGTGGGTGGTTGTGATCTCGGTGGCGAATTGGGGGATCTATATAGTGGTTAACTCGTGAGTAGAGTGCGGGAGTGGGAGTGGTGGTATATGAGCGGGACGTACCTGGTCCAGCTGCATCACATCAAAGACCTTCGATGCGACCTTGTCACTGCCATATTGCTGCACGAACTCGTCCAGGTTTTCCTTTCTTCTGCCAGCGATGACAATCTGAGTGCCGTTCTCGACCAGCTTCACGGCAAGCGCCTTGCCAATGCCGGAGGTGGCACCGATGATGAGGACTTTCTTGTAGGGGAACGACATGTTGATGATTTGTATATATTTACAAGGGTATATGCGTACTATACAGGTAGATAATTGAGGATTGAGCATGAAAAAGAGGCAGACTGGCAGCTATTTAACTTGTATGCATGAAGCTGGATGACGTCCCACCCGCGGAGACTAAGCCCGATATGATCTTACTCTTGGCGAGACACCCTCGCGGAGACTAAGCCGCATTAGGAAATCCATATGGTTTTCGCTTCTTTTTCGCGACAACCCTGGTATCATCCCCAGGAATTGAAGGCGAGAGAAGGATCCGGAACCACCGGAATTGTATAAGGGATTATTAAGCACTGAGCGATATACTGTGGCTTGTCGGATTAATGTTGAGGGATACCTGTCACGTTCGCCCAGCGGACTCTAAGCAGTTTTCGGCGATTCGGCATCTGGATTAACTTGTCGCAAGGTAGGTCTCAGTTGCGTAGACACCTCCGATAAGATGCATGCGCGCTAACGGCTTGCATTAGCCCCTGAAGATCGGCGTCGGTTGTATTCCTCCTTATCGATGTAGTGACTCGGGGCTATGACAGTGTCAGGTGCACGGACCGGCAGCATGCATAGTCTCTAACAACTCGTCTCTCTCAACACTGCTCTCTACTAGGCTGCGAAAGATACCGTTCTGATTCGATACCAGTTCCTGAGGAGCCCCATACTCAATGACTCGGCCGGCGTCCAGTACAAGCACGCGATCAAAGTCGATGATGGTGCTGATGCGATGCGCGATGACGAGTAACGATGACTCGTTGTGCCCAAACTCAGTCCGGATGGATCTCTGAATCACTGCATCTGTGGCCTTGTCAATAGCTGAGGTGGCCTCGTCTAGAACTAGGACTTTGGGTCGGCGGAGGATGGCCCGCGCGAGGCAGAGACACTGCCTTTGGCCTTGGGAAAAGTTCGCGCCTCTTTCGGTGACTGCGGTGCTTAGAATACTCGGTGGGTGCTGGTATTGCAGTTCCAGAGAGTCAAGGAGATCTTCTCTGGAATCGTCATCCTCATCGAGTTTTATCAACGGCGATCCAGGACGATTCTCGTCCTGGTCAGCATCAGGAATAGTCCAGTGCACGCGTCGCAGTGCAGACAAGAGCTCTTGGTCTGAGTGCTCGTCAAAGGGATCGAGATTGGAGCGAATCGTGCCAGAGAACAGGATCGGGTCTTGCG